GTGGTGCACCTGCAGAAGACCTTCGAATGTGTAGGAAAGAGGAGGCTTCTGGTTCTGCTCTAGCTGGTTACCATGATCCTGTCTATCCCTGCTTTAGTGGTTCCACAGGACACTAAAGACCAGTATGGTACATCCTGCACACATATTGACTCTCTCCCTTCCCAGCTGGTTGCCATGCTGCTGACAGAGTGTCTTGAAGGATTGGTTGCAATTTCTGTCGTGGCATTTTCATACATCGGCCACCACACCAAACTGAACTGAACCATGCAGCTTTCTTCAACAACCCACAGACGACCCGACTCATCATAAGTCTCACTGTGGCCTTTTTTGTCCTATGGATGCCATATCATATCACAAATGTACTTGGTGTTGCAGCTATTTCCCTCAAAATCAAGGCCTATGGAAGTTTTGCTTGATCAGCTACAACCTTGTCAAATCACTGGTATTTGTGAATTCCTCTCTGAATCCATTCCTTTATGCTTTTGCTTATAGAAACATGTGCAGAAACATGTGCTCTGGGTGCAGAGAAAGGGAAAATTAAAACTGTTTTTAATGCAGTAGGTCAACGTTACAAGGCGCCTAATCATTTTATTTAGTATGATCACAAACAATTGTACAAAATGCTGAACTTTTATGATGTTAAAAGAAAGCACAGAAATAATTTCACAATAACTTGTGGAACTTAAACAAATATATTTTAGTCCAAAGATATCAGCTCATATGCAGTGTATTTTTATTCTTTGATCAATTGTTAGGTTAACCATTGACTTCTCTGGACTACAGAAAAAGTATATATTTTTATATAGTGAGGCGAAGAGTCGAAAGATGAACATTGTATTGATAAACACACCCACACATCAAAGGCTCAATTATTACTGTCATCACACTGAAAGATGATGTTTGTGGTCATCAAGATGAATTAGAGTAATTAATCTGGAAGTTTCCTTTGTAAACTAAATGCTAATGTTAAGATTCAATGTTAATCTTCACCTTGAGAACAGCGTCCTGAGAGCTTTTGATAGTATAACATACCCAGTGGCTTGTTTGGCATTTTTAATATATGAAATCGAGATATTGTATAGTTTTTATATATTTGGCTCAAAATAGGACTGCTTTAATTATTTTCGAAAGTCTAAATGTTGATGTGTTCAATGCTTAATCTTACAAACAGAGCTTTATTTTGTTGGTCTCTTTCAAGTTCTGTTATTGAACAGTTGTTTATGTACATACCTTCACAGCAAATACCAAAGTGTTAAAATCCCAGAGTACTGATGACCAGAGTAGAAATGTTTACACTTTGGAGTAGAATGGACATAAAGTGCACCAGAACCTCTCTTTGGTGTTATTTCTTGGTGTGGTGTTGGTGTTGACTTGTGTAGTGTGTATTCTGGGATGATGGACTCCCTCAGAGTATATCTTTTCATTGAATCTGTCTGGTCCGCATCTGATCTTAGGTTTCGATTCGTCATCAGATAGGCCGCGCCTTCTCATTGGTTTAATGCAGCCTCGTGACCCTCGACTCTTTGAAAATATTCTCCAGGAAAAGCGTGACCGTGACTGTTTCAGATTGATGCAAGAGTTACGGCCCGTCCACACGGCGGCGTGCGTTGAAGCTTCAACGCTTCTGCCCATTCACTTTGAATGGGGTGACGTCACGCTTTGCCGAACTGCATTGTGGGAGTGTTGCTCGCTTAAAAAGTTGAGCAATGTTCAACATTTAAAGCTTCGGCGGAAGCGTCAGCCAATCAAATCATATCCCAGTACAAGCTCTAGCCAATCAAACCGCGTGCTTGTGTGTCCGGGGCGGGAGATTCATGTGATTGGTTTGTTGGTCGAGTTTCAGACAAGCTCACCGGCAAGCTTCAACGCACGCCGCCGTGTGGACGCTGCGTTATACGGCCCGTCCACACGGCGGCGTGCGTTGAAGCTTCAACACTTCTGCCCATTCACTTTGAATGGGGTGACGTCACGCTTTGCCGAACTGCATTGTGGGAGCGTTGCTTCGCTTTGCTCGCGTTACTCGCTTCAAAAGTTGAGCAATGTTCAACTTTTGAAGCTTCGACGGAAGCGGCCAGCCAATCAAATCATATGCCAGTACAAGCTCTAGCCAATCAAACCGTGTGCTTGTGTGTCCGGGGCGGGAGATTCATGTGATTGGTTGTTGGTTGAGTTTCAGACAAGCTCACCGGCAAGCTTCCTTCAACGCACGCCGCCGTGTGGACGCTGCGTTATACATCCATGGATCGAACACGTCAACATTTCTCCGCAGGACGGTAACGTTAAATAGACACCAAGTGAATAATTCTGAATATTCATATTTGTCTTCTTGTTTTAATTTGTATAACTAAACAACTAAAAACGATAACGTTAGCAAGTAGAATATTTGTGACGTTATTGTAGTGGTAACGTTAGCTGTAGTTAATGAGATTAAGGTTATTCTGACAACGAAATATGTATTTGTTTGATATTTTAGCTGCCGCTCCCGTGACTTGAGCTAATTAGTGCGAATGCTGTGTGGGTTCATACCCTTTTTAAAGCTTTTCTTTTAAATATTAAGCTTCTTCACTATTTTTCCTACTCTTCCAGTTTAACATTTCACTTTCAAGTTTTCAAAGTCATTGCAATGCATTTGAGCTGTAACCATTTTGATTCAAATCATTTCACTTTTCGTATTTCTCCGCTAAGTTCAGCAACACACTTACTTGGTTTTTGTAGCTAAAAGCAGCTACAGAGAACATTCAACTAATAAAATATTCAGCTTTTTCTGCATTTTCAGCTAAATTCAGCAACAAATGTACACAGTTCACAGCATTCGCACGGATTTTCAGCAGGAAATGCATTTTCTAGTGTTAATTGTTAGGCTTCATTCACGCTGACTCAGGCGACAAACCGCTCCTCTTTACAATCATTTGACAGGGGGGTAACGTTACGGGAGTGGCTCAGCGGCCTTGAATAAATGTTTTTTTAATCCATAATCAACTCTAGTCTGCAGGCACCTTTGAAATAATGAGACCGTTAACGTTAGCAGCTGTTAGCTTAGCTACCGCCAATTTACGTTACTCAGATTGAATGATTTCGAAGCTCTCGCCTCCCGCCTGATATAATGCTGTTAACAGTTAAGTCTAACTTTGCACTACATTTGGTACAGTACATGTGCAATAGATCAATTCCAGTTGTGGAGGAAGTTTTCATATGATTTAAGTTTAGTAAAAGTACAAATAACACCCTGTGAAAATACTATAAGTAAAAGGCCTGCACTTAAAACCTGACTTAAGTAAAAGTATGCGAGTATAATCAGCTACAGTAAATGTACTTTAAGTATCAAGTAAAAGCACTCATTGTGCAGTGAAATTGTCAGTGTTTTACTATTTTTGGGATGCTTTTAGGTTTTATATTACTGCTGCATTAATATATTTGTTGCATTTGACTTCTGTTCATGGTAATGGCCGAGCTGATCTGATTTGCTATCAAAGGTTTTTGTCAGTGTCTGACCCATCCATCAAAATATGATGTACAGTGTAGTTATATTTGTGTTTATTGTTATCTTACAGTCATCTCCAGCCCTCAGGAGTACTCTGGTCCAGTGGAGGCAACCCTACATCCTAGCAGTTGGGACCACAAGAAACAGCTCCATGAGTACTACATTGCGTTGGATGGTGAGCTCCTTCCCTGCAAGGCCAAGTCTTCCCTGTCAGCTTTGATGAACTTTTTAAAGAACATTATGTGTTTGGGTTCTCCTATGACCAGGCCTTAAACGGCATGTACACATTTTGCAGACCACCATCTACAACATTGATGTAAACTGGTTGCCATGTAGACTTTTAGATGTTGATCATCCTGCTCGGTGATTGTTAGTCTTTCAAAACACTATTTTTGTCAGTTTACTTTGCACATTAGCACTAGTGTATAGTATTCCACGTTGTCCATTTGTTGTAACAGGATTTTGGAATGAGAGGCCTAAGGAGCAAATGTACACACATTTCCACCTACAGTATGACCAATGTATTTTGTGGGTTGTTTTCATGTTGCTACTGACTAGATGTTATATTTAAAACACATCAAAATCACACACACACACACACACACACACACACACACACACACACACACACACACACACACACACACACACACACACACACACACACACACACACACACACACACACACACACACACACACACACACACACACACACACAAATAGAAAGTAAGTCAAAAGTAGTGCTCAGGTTATTTGTAACTTCTCTGGGGGTGTAGTGGTGACATTTGTTTCCTGTTTTATTGTTACTTTGAAAGACTGACTGAGTCGCCATTACTCGCTCGGTCCCCAACTTTGAGCTTGTCTAGCAGCAGGTTTGCAGCATGGAACAACTGAACACCTCTGCGATCACCTTAAACATCTCCTCCACGACCCGGCTCATCACAAGTATCATTCTCACCTTTTTTGTCCTATGGATGCCGTATCAAGCCAGAAATGTGCTTGGTGTTGCAGCTATTTTCCAAAAAAACTGAAGGCCTGTAGAAGTTTTGCTTGTACAACTTGAACCCTGTTACAGCACTGGTATTTTTCAATAGCTGCCTTAATCCACTTCTTTATGCATTTGCTTCCAGAAACATGTGCCAAGAAAGACAACATCAATACTGTTGTTAAAGCAGACACTATACTTTAAAGACAGTTGAATCATTTGATAATGTATGTTCACAAATATCAGTATAGAGTGAAGAACATCGATGAGGTATGAACAAGATTGCCCCCACACACACACACACACACACACACACACACACACACACACACACACACACACACACACACACACACACACACACACACACACACACACACACACACACACACATAGAAAATAAGTCAAAAGTAGCACTTAGGTTTTATTTTTACTTCTCTGGAGGCGTGGTTGTGAAAACGATTTCATGATTTTCTGTTCCTTTAAAAGACTGACTGGGTTGCTATCACTCACTCGGTGCCCAACACTCATCTTGTCTGCCAGCAAGTTTGCAGCATGAACAAATTCAACTCTTCTCTGGTCACCTTCAGCATCTCCTCCACTCCTGATCATCCATCTACTGCCTCATGGGTCTCCATCCGTTTGGTCCCAGCGGTGGTGCTGTCCATCTGCTTCCTGCTGGGAGTTCCTGGGAATATTGCTGTGATCATCCTCAAACCAAACTGGCAGCACCTGTCCAGTCTGAGTCAGAGTCTGATGCTGAATTTGGCCATATCAGATCTGATCTGCCTGCTCCCCCTGCCTCTGTGGATTTACACTTTACTGTACAGCTGGACTCTCGGCCTGGTGGCCTGTAAGCTCCTCACGTATTTCATGTTGTGCAGCCTCTATGCTTTCGGTGACATTGCTGAGTGTCCAGCGCTACCTACAGGTGGTGCACCTGCAGAAAATGTTTGATCGTGTAGGAAAGAGGAGGCTTCTGGTTCTGCTCTGGCTGGTTACCATGATCCTGTCTATTCCTGCTTTAGTGATCCGACAGGTGATCAAAGACCAGCATAGGACATCCTGCACAGGTTCCCACGCTCCCCCTTCCCAGCTGGTGGCCGTGCTGCTGCCAGAGTGCCTCGTAGGATTTGTTTCAATTTCTGTTGTGGCCTTTTCATACATCGGTGTCCAGAGAAAAGTGAACCAGGCAGCTTTCTTCAACAACCCACAGACGACCCGGCTGGTCACAAGTATCATTGTGACCTTTTTTGTCCTATGGATGCCGTATTACATCACAAACGTACTTGCTGTGGCAGCTATTCTGCTAAAAAATGACGGCCTATGGAAGTTTTGCTTGAACAGCTGGAGCATTTTTGGAGCATTGGTATTTGTGAATAGCTGCCTTAATCCCCTCCTTTATGCTTTTGCTTTAAAAAAACATGTGCACTCTGTGCGGAGAAAGGGAACATTAGTGCTGTTGGTTATGCAAAGATGCCGATATTAGAGTAGCCTCTCACCAAACTGTCAAGTTATTATATATTGATTGTTGTGTTTTTATTTAGGTCTTAATGTGTGCACATGTAAAAATGTGTCTTTGACTGTGTATATACATACATATTTGCACACATATTTTTATATTTTATATTCTATATACATTGTTTTTATATTCGGGATAGTGGGAAACAGTATTTCAATCTCTCTGTCTGTACACACAAACTGGAAGATTGACATTAAAGTTGACTTTGACTTTGAAGTTGTTGTAGCTATATTTCACACAGATGCAGGATTTTGAATGAAAATGAACCATTCTCTTTGATAACTCTCCGTATTTGTTTTTCTGACCTGATATGTTTGTGCTCAGGCACACAGAACTCAAGTAGCTCCTTCCCTGCAAGGCCAAGTCTTCCCTGTCAGCTTTGATGAACATTTTAAAGAACATTATGTGTTTGGGTTCTCCTATGACCAGGCCTTAAACGGCATGTACACATTTTGCAGACCACCATCTACAACAGGGGTCGGCAACCCCTGGCACGCGTGCCAGCATTGGCACGCGGCCCCGTAACCAGTGGCACACTAGGAATAAGTGGAATAAGTGTGCACAATATTTAAATTGTATTTTCGGATCCTGAACGAGACCGCCGTCAGAGCGCGTCTCCCCGTTACCTGCAGAAGGAAGCCATGCACGCAGCGCAGCCCCGCTCTCTTTAACTCCAGGTGACTTTCTGCCGCTTTCCTCCGTTGTGCAGGGCTGATCGTTTCACCACAGAGGAAAGCACTTCACAAATTGCAGTACTCATAAGGAGCTTTACAAATGCCGCAGTTTTTGCGTGGCTGTGTCTTTAGTTGAAAGCCCAGTGGCGATCTGCTCATCTCTCATTGAAATAATATGCTACAAAGGGGCGGACTGGCCATCTGTGTGTTGAACTTTCCTGTCGGCTCCCAGACCGTAGTCGAGGAGGGCAGAAGCAACAAGCTTCAGGTTCAATAACCCACTTTAGCTTAAATGACTGGAGAGAGGCGAGCTCTTCTTGGGAGGCCGTTGCATTTATTTAGCTGTTCTTCTGTTTCACAAAATACATCACAGACCTCTGTTTTTCTGCTGCCTCGTTTCACTTCCAGAAACATACACACGCTCACTCACTCTCGCTCTACCATCCACACACACACACACATGCACACGCCACACCCCTCTCTCTCTCTCTCTTAAAGGGACAGCGATCTCATCTCACTCTGCATAACATGTGTGTTCTGGAGAATTACAGAACGGACGATCGTCCTTATTATTATGCCGTTTTAAACCAATTATTTAAATGTGTTTGTTAAATTCGGTATCATGTAAGTTGCGCTGACAGGTCCACACACTGCTTCCCCGCAGCGAGGCTCCCCCGCCCTCCTGTTGATAGTTCACGAGCGTCAAGCTCCTCAACGACCCCCCCCCCCCCCCCCCCGTTGATAATTCTCGATCGTTGGCACGCTGATAACAATTTTTTTTTTTAATGGCACTTCATATCAAAAAGGTTGCCGACCCCTGCAGTAGCTCAACATTATAGGACGCCTAATCATTTGATTTTGCATGATCACAAAAAAACTGTACAAAATGCTGAACTTGTATGATGTTAAAAGAAAGCACAGAAATCATTTTACAATAACTCATGGATCTTAAAAAAAGATATGTTAGTCTAAAGATATCAGCTGATATGCAGTTTGTTTTATTCTTTGATCAATTGTTAGGTTAACCATTGACTTCCCTGGACTTCCCAAAAAGTATATATTTTTTTTAGGGCTGTCAGTCGATTAAAATATTTAATCGCGATTAATCGCATGATTGTCCATAGTTAATCGCGATTAATCGCAAATTAATCGCACATTTTTTATCTGTTCTAAATGTACCTTAGAGGGATATCTTTCAAGTTTTTAATACTCTTATCAACATATGAGTGAACAAATATGCTTTATATGTTTGTTTATTATCATTTGAACAATGACAAATATTCTCATGAATATTAAACACAACAACCTCTGAACATTACAAATATTCGCTTCAAATCAACCTGGAACCTCTCTCATACAATAATTGTGTGTGTGTGTGTGTGTGTGTGTGTGTGTGTGTGTGTGTGTGTGTGTGTGTTGGAGCTATGTGCAGCTCAAGGCATATATGCTCCAACGGGAGCTGCAATCATGTTGCGTGTGCTGACTTTTCGTACAATGTCCCACTGTCTGGCTACCTGCATAAAGTCAAGTGCTCGGCGCAGTTGTCGGCGAAATGTCATTGAAACAGCTCCTTATATCCGTTAGCGCAGCTAGCTAGCACCAGATGCTAACAACAACACGTAAGGTGTGCCTCGCTCGCGCGAGTCGCGCCACACATACACACTCCCTCCCGGTCCTCCCGATGGCCAGTCCGGGCCTGCCAGTGAGCGTGGAAGTGTGGTCTGCCACAAGCGGGCGGTAGGAGCGGGGCTGTCAGCATCAGCGGGGCTGTCAGCATCAGCTTGTCGATGGTATTTTAAACTCGATGCGCTCTGAAACTACGGCGGCCGAGGACAAAAAATACACATGCGTTAATCGCGTTAAAATAATTAGTGGCGTTAATTTTTTTTTGCGTTAACGCGTTATTAACGCGTTAACTTGACAGCCCTAATTTTTTTATTTAATCAGGCGAAGAGTTGAAAGATGAACATTGTGATGATAAACACACCCACACATCAAAGGCTCAGTACTTACTGTCATCACACTGAAAGATGAATTAGAGTAATTCATCTGGAAGTTTCCTTTGCAAACTAAATGCTAATGTTAAGATTCAATGTTCATCTTTGTCTTGAGAACAGCGTCCTGAGAACTTTCGATAGTATAACATAACAGCGTTTAGCATTTTTTATATATGAAATCGAGATATTATATCGTTTTTATAGCATATTTGGCTAAGAATAGGACTGCTTGATGTTGTTCGAAAGTCTTAATGTTGATGTGGTTTAATTTTAGAAAGTGAGCTTTATTGCTTTGGTCTCTTTCAAGTCACGTTATTGAATAGTTTTGTATGTACCTTGAGTTGGTCTTCAAAGACACACAGAGAGGAAATACAAAGTTAAAAATGGCTCATCATTACCCACATGTTTTTTTTTTCCGACCTGATGAATGCTCTTGCGTGCACGTGTACACACACACGCTTTCTTTTTTAGGAGTAGATATTTTGCTGAAAGAACGTTTGTGTGTTTACCATTATTATCTTTTTTAATAAATGCTTTTTTAATCTACTGTATATGCTGGTCTGTTATTGATATTGTACAAGAGTGCATGCTGCCAACCTCTACTGTTGATGACTCCAAAATCAACCTAGTTATGATAAAGATGTGGTCATTTTTGGTTGTTGTGAAAAAAGATGAATACAAGTCTGGCCTAAATCTTCTGTCAGAAAGACTGCAGCAATCCAGGGGGTGTAGTTAACCAAACTTTAATTGTTCCACAATTAGTTAACGTCTGTGCAGTTATGTTCGTTTTTTTAATTTGCTTCCTCCTAGGAGTTCCTGGAAATATTGCTGTGATCATCCTCAAACCAAACTGGCAGCACCTGTCCAGTCTGAGCCAGAGTCTGATGCTGAATTTGGCCATATCAGATCTGATCTGCCTGCTCCCCCTGCCTCTGTGGATTTACACTTTACTGTACAGCTGGACTCTCGGCCTGGTGGCCTGTAGTCTCCTCACGTATCTCATGTTGTGCAACCTCTATGCTTTCGGTAACATTGCTGAGTGTCCAGCGCTACCTACAGGTGGTGCACCTGTCAATAAGTCAAAAAAAGTAGCACTTAGGTTTTATTTTTACTTCTCTGGGGTTGGCCGTGATGCTGACAGAGACCCTGACCGGGTTTGTTGCCATTTCTGTCGTGGCATTTTCATACATCGGTCTCCACAGAAAAGTGAACCAGCTTTCTTCAACAACCCACAGACGACCCGGCTGGTCACAAGTATCATTGTGACCTTTTTTGTTCTATGGATGCCATATCATATCACAAATGTACTTGGTGTGGCAGCAATTTCACTAAAAAATGAAAGATTTTTGAAGTTTTGCATGGACAGCTGGTACACTGTTTCAGCATTGGTGCTTGTGATCAGCAGCCTTAATCCACTTCTTTATGCGTTTGCTTCTAAAAACATGTGCACTATGTGCGGAGAAAGGGAACATTAGTGCTGTTGATAATGCAGTAGCTCAATGTTTCAGGTAGTGTAATTACTTGATTTTGCATGATCTGAAATACCATTACATAATGCAGAACTTTTTGACATGAAAAGAAAACACAAAAAATATACCCATTAACCTGTGAAACTCAAAAAAGGTGATTTACAGTAGTCCAAAGTTCTAACATTATACACAGTTTGGAATTTATTTTATGATCAATTGTGAGGCTAACCATAGTCTTTCCTCTGATTCTCCAAAAATATATGTTTTAATTGGTTAGGCAAAGAGTTAAAAGATGAAGATGGTAATGATACAGGCACCCACATATCAATTATTACTGTCATCATACTGAAAGATGATGTTTGTGGTCTGTAAGATTAATTCGAGTAAATCATCTGGAAGTT